TCCAAATGAAACTAGAGATTACCTTTTCCATCTCCTTGAAGAATGGGATTGGTATTTGTATTGGGATTGCATTAAACGTATAAATTGCCTTTGGTAGTATTGCCATTTTCACAATATTGAGTGTTCCTACCCATGAGCAAGGGGTATTCTTCCACTTCTCCAGATCTCTTTTTGTTTCTTGTAGTAATGTTTTGTAATTTTCTTTGAATAGGTCCTATGTGCTTCTGGTTAGATTTACTCCCAAGTATTTAATCTTGTGATTAGCTATTGTGAAGGGTATTGTTTTTCTTAGCACCAGCTCTCCATTCTTTTTGTCACTGTAGAGAAATCCAACTGATTTTTGTATGTTGATCTTGTATCTTGCCACTTTGCTAAATTGGTCCACTGTGTCCAATAGTTTTCTTGCTGAGTCTTTAGGGTTTTTTAAGTATACTATCATGTCATCCGCATAGAGGGATAATTTTACTTCCTCGTTGCCAATTTGGATACCTTTTATTCCCTTCTCTTGTCTTATTGCTATTGCTAAGACTTCCAAAACAATATTGAAAAGGAGAGGTGATAGTGGGCATCCTTGCCTAGTTCCTGTTCTTAAAAGGAATGCCTTTAACCTCACTCCGTTGAGAACAATGTTGACTCTTGGGTTTTCATACTTTTTACTATGCTGAAAAAATTCACCTCTAATCCTATTTTGTTGAGTGTTTGAATCGGGAAAGGGTGTTGGATTTTGTCAAAGGCCTTCTGTGCATTAATTGATAGGATCATGTGGTTCTTGTTCTTTGCTTTGTTAATATGATGAATTACATTAATTGTTTTCCTTAATGTTGAACCATCCTTGCATACCTGTTATGAATCCCACTCTGTAAGAAGGACATCTCTGAGTCTCTACTGCAATGCTTGTCTTGTTTTTACAAACTCTCTTAGGTTCTGCTTTTCTGGGAATATCTTGATCTGTCCTTCATATTTGATGGATAATTTTGCTGGGTACAGTATTCTTGCCTGCATGGTTTCTGCTGAGAAATCAGTACTTAATCCTATCTATTCTCCCTTATAGGTTACTCTTTATTTCTCCTTTGCTGCTTTCAGGATTCTCTCCTTATCTTTGGTTCTTGTGAATTTAACTGTGATATGCCTTGATGGTTTTCTTTTGGGGTCTAATCTATATAGTGTTCGCTGAGCTTCCTGTATATATATTCTCTCATTTTTCATTATGCCTGGGAAGTTTTCCTCTAGTAATTCTTCCACAACTTTCTCAGTGTCTTTACTTGCTTCTTCCTTTTCTGGGATTCCAGTGATGTGCATGTTATTTCTCTTGATGGTGTCCCACATTATTCTTAGGTTTTCTTCTTTTTCCTTCTTTTTTGAGTCTGCTTTTTGCTCTAGCAGATAAGTGGTGACAATTTTGTCTTCAATTTCACTGATTCTGTGCTCCATCTCATTAACTCTGCTCATATGTCCCTCCATCATGTTAACAGCCTCTGAAACATTGGACCTTATATTTTGAGTAGTGGATTCTTGTTTTTCCAATGCCGCTAATGCCTCATTTGTTTTCTCTGCAATGTTCTGCATTGATTTTTTTTTTAGCTCCTCCTGGTTTTTGCTTGTAGTATCCTATAATTCATCAAGTTTATCTTTCATCCATTGGATATATTCAGTGACTCCTCTTTTAAATTCTGTGTCAGAAAGTTCCATCAGACTTTCTGGCTTTAAACCCGTTTATTCTGTTCAACTGCAGCCTGATGAGAAAGCAAAAAAAATCTATGTTTAGTAGGATCCTCAGTTAATTCTGCAAGTTCCCCAGTGTGACTCATAACGATCTCTGAGACTTATGTTAAATTATAAATTCTTATTCAATAGACTTAGAGTTGAAGGCATATTCTTAGTTAGGGATCAGACCAAGCTATTGGGGAATTCTTTAATATGTTGAATGAATTCAGTATTTTAATTTTCTAGTGTGTGATGTAGGGCCTGGTGTTAAGAATCTTCGCTGCAGTCTTGAAGGCGCTCAGTTCAAATCCATCAGCTGCTCCATGGGAGAAGGATGGGCACTCGCCTTCCATGTGATTAACTGCTTCTGAAAACCCACTGGCTAGTCTGCTGTGGATCAGTTCTGACTACAGTACACAACAACAATGTATAAGGTCATCTAAACCCTTTCAACAGATCGTTTAATCCCACTGCTATTCAGACAGTTCTAACCTCCCACCCCTGGTGATCCGCCATCAGATTTCTCAGGCTGTAAATCTTTACAGGAGGGCACAGCCTTATCATGCATTCTCCCTAGTAAAAAGCTTTGTTTTAATGTTATTGTGTACCATCCAGTCAGAACTGATGAGAAAATTCTACTTGGGTAGTATAAGAATTCCACATTAATCCCTGAATTTGCTTTCTCTTTTACAGACTTGGTTTCACATACCTAAGGCTAAAAGACAATTATATGGAGATATTAAATAGGGACAATGACATTGAAAGGTATGTATATTATACATAAAAATATTATTATAATTAATTATTATAATTATGATTCTAATGAATTATTATAAAATTGCTTTTGTTTTTAATTGAGACAAAAACACCCATTCTTTCAAAAGCTCTGATACAACTTGTATATTTGTGATTAACAAATTCTTAGTAATGAATCAATACATAAGAAATGCATTTTGGTAAGCAAACTTTATTAAGGTATATACGTTGTTTCAAAGTGACTAGGTGAATATAAACAATGAAAGGTCATTCATTGTAGAAAGATTCCTAGCCTGTGAGTCAGTTTTAATCATATCTCATCAAAGAAAGTTAGCATAAACTATGAAATGGAGACTTGTTGGCCTCATAGAAAATAAATGGTTTGGCATCTTTAAAATGTTGAGTTTTTTCCCACTTCCTGTTAATGGAGGAAAATACTGTATTCCTAAATTTCCTTTCTTTAGAGGACTACTTTATATTACTAACCAGTAGGCAAAGAGGTAGTAATACGTAGTGACTTTTTTTTTTTATATATATAAAGAAATAAGAAAAACTGTTCTACTTATTCAGTCTGGTTTTTGGGAAAATTTTGGTCCATATTATATGGCTTGATAATTATCTAGATTCATAGTATACAGAGCAATGTATATATTAGAATTTAATAAAATTTCTTTTTCAGGTTTGAATTGCTAGAAATTTTGAGTTTTGACTCAGTAAGAAGGAGAATGAGTGTAATTGTGAAATCTTCGACAGGTAGAAATTTCTTTTTTGCCTTAATTCCTTGAATTGTACATTGTGGTTGTTTTACTTTTATGATTATTTTAGGAACTTTAAGATTATTATTTATGATATTTAAAGAAGTTTAAGGTTGCCAGTTATTCTTTGTTAAATATTGTTTTTAATATTGATTTGAGATAATTTTATTATGTACTGTTGAGCTGGAATCAACTCACAGCTGACCTTCCAGCAAGTTTTCAGAGGCGGTATGTCACATGGGAACAGATTGCCCATCTTTTTCCCAAGGAGCAGCTGGTGACTTTGAACCATCTACCTTTGATTTGGCAGGCTCATTTTCACTAAGCTATTAGAGCTTCCAATTAAAATCCTTCCTCATTACTTTGTTGCTGTTTAAGTTGCTGTGAGTTGAAGTTGACTCAGTGACACCTGTTGTGTGTTCCATCTAGTTAAAACTTCTCCTGTGATCCTCCAGTGAGATTTTAGAGGGAGTTAACCATGGGGGAGATTCCCGTCTTTCTCCCTCAGAGGAGATAGTGGATTTGAACCATGTGTCTTTCAGTTGATGGTGCAGATTTTTACCACTAAGTCACAGAGGTTCCTAAACACTATGTTGTTGTTTTTGTGTACTGTCGAGTCAGAACTGACCCATAGCTGATCCTCGAGCAGGTTTTCCAAGGTAGTTAATCACAAGAAAGGAAACTGCCCACCCTTCTTTCACTGAGCAGCTGATAGATTTGAACCGCATGCCTCAGTGACTGCAGAACAGTTTATTACCACTAGGCCATCAGAGCATTTAAAATTTTTTGGTCACTATAACAATGTGTCTTTATCAGAGAATAATCATATTCTTTATAATAATAAGATGATAAATGTTATAAAATATGTAAGCAAATACTTTCCATGGTAATTTCTTAATTAAATTTTGTTTTTAAATACCATATGAATTGGAGAATTCTATAACTCAGATTTTGTACTTCTTTTCTCTATGGTATCTAGGCTTTTATTATGTTGGATTTATTCCTTTCCCTTCGCTAGTTCCTCTTCTCCCCAGAGTCATACCACTGTTAGTGCAATTACCAGATTCTATCTCCTTGATAATCATATTATTATTTTAAACTTATTATACTTTCTAAATCTCACTTATAGGTAGATGTCCCTGTCTCTAATCCTAACACTCAGTCAAGTGCCACACTCACTATCAAACCAAAACCAAAACCACTGCCTTTATGTTGATTCCTGACTGATGACAGTCCTGTACTAGATTTCCAAGGCTTTGAATCTTCTAATAGGAAAAGATTGCCTTATCTTTCACTGCTGTAGTATCTGGTAGATTCAAACCACCAACTTTTCAGTTACCAGCCCAACACCTAAAATGCTGTGCCCACCAGGCTCCTCTCTCAGTATCAGTTGCTGCTTGAATAATTCATTAGCATTTCAGTCTCTTTTTTCCAGCTCTAAGCACCTTAGCATCAAAGGCTTTAGAGTCAGCTGGAAAATTCTTTCGATTCCTCCACATTCACTGTCCATCTCCTCCTTTCAGTTAGCACTGCCAACACCTAACCTGCTTCCTAACAGATCTCCTGTCTGCAGTTTGTCTTTAAATCATTCTGCTGCCAAATTAGTCTTAAAATCACTGTGTGATCACACACCTGGCCAGAAGCTTTTAGTACTGGCCTTTATTATTGACTGAATGAGATTGCTTCTCCTCCACAGTACTCAAAGGTCTTTTTTTTTTTTAAGTTTATTATTTTGTGTGCGTGTACCGTCAAATCAGATCTGACTGGTACAGGAGGATATTGCGCCTCCTTCTCCGGCAGAGCATCTGGTGGATTCGAACCATGTTCCTCTGGGATTGCAGTGCAACTTCTTGCCACTAGGCCACCAGAGCTCCCCACAAAGGTCTTTTGGTTGAGATATTAAGCTTTTCTTTTTAACATTTTGATTTCTTATCCCTCTTAATTTACACTGATGAGACTCACTTATTGTTTCCAACATTGCCCCATTCTTTTTTTTTTTTTTATTTTATTTCTGAGAAACTACGAGTTTATAAGGAAATACTATTGTTACTTGTAATACCAACCACTGCAGCAAATAATTTGAATATTTAATTGAACAAGTAGTTCTTAAAGTAATAATACAGTTGAGGAATTCCGTAATTGATCCTACTCATTTGCAAATGGAAACTTAAATTTTTATGTTTATTTATAGCTATGTGCTACTATCGTTAGTAAATAAAAAAGTTAACTAGGGTACCTTCATAAACCTTAAAGAGCAGAAACTAAAGCCAATGTCAGTCCTACTATAGAGTAAATTTTGCTTTGGAATTTTTTTGGAGGGAGTGGCAAAATACCTCCATGACCACACGTAAGTCTGAAGATCAATAAAGAGCAGTTTACTAATCAAGACACTAAGAAATTCAAGACATTCACAGATTACGAGTCATAAAGCATGCTAAATTCTTATTAAAAAATTATATTGTTTAAGAATACAGCATTGCATTGTCGGGATTACAGTCATTACTGTTCTATAACTGTATATGATGGCATAATAAGCCTTGTTATTGTTGTTATGTGCCATAGAGTTGCTTGCGACTCATAGCGACGCTGTGTACAACAGCTCTAAACTCTGCTCTGCCCTGGGCCAATCGCACCATCTCCGACACAGCCAACCCGATTACCGCAGTCACTGAATGAATCAACCTCATAGAGGGCCTTTCCCTCCTGCCCTGTCCCTCCACCCTACCAAGCATGGTGTACCTCTCCAAGGACCGGTCTCTCCTTACAAAATGTCCAAAGTATGTTAGACGGAGCCTCAGAATCCTTGCCTCCAAGGAGCCACCCTTTCCAGGATGAAACTATTTGTTTTCCTAGCAGTCCATGGTACTCTCAATACTCTTCTCTAGCACCACAGCTCAAAGGCATCAATTCTCCTTCTATCCTCCTTGGTCATTGTCCAACTTTCTGATGCATAACAAGTGAT